ACATACATCCAAATCCATTGCATGGAAGAACACGTTTTTCAACTCGATCCTTTGAGTTTTGGACACAGTGATGGTGGTTACTCTTTGCCGCAATGCTCACAAGTATATTGTGAACAGTTTCATTTTTCTGATGACTATAAAAGGGAACAGATCTTATTCCTCTAACTCAAAAGACTTATAATTTAGATCCAATAACTGCGCTCAAATTTTATGATCCACGAAACTAGTTCAATATCAATACAATCAGTCCAAACAGCCTACCACCAAGGACAATGTCAAGGTACTGGTTGTGTTAACGAGACGTCAATGCTTGGCCGATGCACCAACTTTGCCGCCGGTCCCGTTCCCGCTCCATCGCCGTTTTAATAATAAATGTTGTGAATTATAATAATAATTTCTATTACATCCGAAGATGTATTATTATTTGTAATAATACAAATGCATTATATAGAAAGGATTATATTTATTTTTATATTTGTATGCGTCATTTAATAACAAAAAAATAATTTAAAAATATTTCATATTATTTTAATACCTTATATATCTGCCAGAAGCTTCTCGAATGCTTTTTGCAGGTTTTTTTTACCTTAAATGCGAAGAAAAATTTGTACTATGTGCCAAATTACAAAATAACAGATTTTTTATAATTATTAGATTTTTATTGGCAACAGAAATGCAGCCAGGTAAATGTTTGCTTAGTCTGCAGGTTTGATTCGGTGGGGGTATTTAGACCTTAGATGTAAAGAACAATTAGTGCTATGTGCCAAATTTAAAAAAACGGGTTTTTTAAGATATTAGAATTTTTTGTCAAACAGAGTAAAAATGTATAGGTCAAATTAACATAAATTGCTCAACTACTCCTAAATAGTTATATTTAGGGCATTTTTGTTAATACAAAAGTTGTTCCTTATTGTGTAAGCAACATTTTTTGTATTAAAAGTAACTCGCTATATATTACCGTTTTCGAGATATAAGCTCCCAATGAGTTTCATGTAATAAATGCCGCCGCCATTTTTAAAATGGTGGATTCTGAGGTTATGCCCACTCTGCCAAGCTGGCACCCACGTGAAAAATGATAACCCACATAGTACCTACATGATCCCTTAGGGTGTTTTTCTATACATAAAATGCACACGGGAACCCCCCTAGCAAGTGGATGGTCAAAAACTCGACCAAAACATATACAATGTGCATACTTATATATTTTCACCCCACGCTTAATTTAAACATGTGATTAAATCAATTCATTTTGTTTCGATTTTCTGTTTATATTTCGTCACAAGCTTGGCAACCCATAAGGCACATGTTAATTTTTTAAATTGTGAATTCATTTTTTGTGCTTATTTGTGACCATATTTTAATCTATAAAGGGATTCTGCACATCTACATGAAATTATCTTTCCAACGGTATGCGTAGATTTTCCCTGCGATGCACACGAGCTGAGAAAAGAGATTTTAAAGATACCTGCTTTCCTATTAATATACACATTAGCAAACACACTCACAACAGTCATATTGCCTCTAAAACGTTGTAGAATTATTTTCTTAGCTGTACAGATAAGGATAGAAATCACGTAACCAAGTGAGACATGAAAAACAAACAGTTGCAGCTGTAATAACGTGTAGAGGTACCTTACTGAAACTTATTACATTCCATACATTCTGGCAGGCTGCTTCTCCGCTGTTTGCATTGGTCATTGGTTACTTGCATTTCAACGGAGCAGTTTACTAACGTTCTACAGATTTAAATTGAACCATTACATTTATTGTCTGGATTTTTTGTTAAACATTCAGTTACTTTTTCATGCATTGAATATTTTTATTTTCATTTGATTTTATACTTACATCAAATATAAACTGATATAAATTTTCTAATTTCTTTTCCAAACATATTAACTTTTAAAGTATTGCTATATGAATCCCGTAAAATCAACGGTTACTGTTGAGGTTTCAAGCAAAATCGTGATTCAGATACGTACGACCTTAATAGCCAATACTTCAAATGAAAGCTGATATTTCATTCAAGAAGGTTCTTGGGCTAAAACATACAGGATAATGTAATTAGAACTGGTGAAATGCATCTTAATTAAAGTTAAATTAAGAATTCGACAACAAATCAAATGTATGTATTTTTGTTCGAGTCTTACATTAGATAAAGGAATGATGGTACTTTATGATAAATATGTGTTAGCATAAATTTAATTTAAGACCAAAATTATGAAAATCGGTCGGGTAGAAGAGCCAAACGAACTCGGAAAAGAAACCCCCAAATTCCACTACCATGAGAAATGTACAGGGAGGTAGTTGCTTTTGTGCATAGTTCCAAAATACGTCAGATAAATGAATGATGATGCTTGATGGAAAATATGTGCGTTCATACCTTTAATTAAAGACCAAAATTATGAAAATTGGTCAGGTAGAAGAGTGAAACGAATTTGGAAAAGAAACCCCCAAATTTAACTCCCATAAGACATGTACGGGAGGTACGGTAGTTGCTTTTGTGCATAACTCAAAAATACGGCAGATGAATGAAGAAGTTTGATGGCAAATCTGAGAGTTCAAACCTTTGAAGACCAAAATTATGAAAATCGGTCAGGTAGAAGAGCCAAACCGACTTAGAAAAAAAAAAACAATATTTTTTAATTATATAGACTACTTGGCTACAATGTAGAAGGTTTGAGTAGTAAAACGTAGAACATATCACTACTGTTGTCTGTAGATGTCAGTGGCAGAACACTGGACTGAGCATTGCGATATGTCGTATCGTGTTATATGTTCTAGTCACAGCGTCATACTAAGCTACAAGTTCACATTAGGTACGGACATTTCACAAGTAATACATTTTAAACTACCCATCCCTGTGTGATTAATTTTTCACTTTTAACAATACCTACATTTTTCTTGCCACAACAGCCTGGATTTAGTTTGTCGCAATACAGGGTTTCTAGGGAAAACAGAAAATATTAAGCACGTCACAACATGGAGAAGTTTCTGTTTCTCGCGGCACTATCAATAGATACAATCTATTGGTGGTTTGGCGGGATTTGAACCCAGGACCTCACAGACCGAAGTCCCGCGGTCTAACCACTAGACCAACTCGCTCCCCGAAACAAACATGGCTGTAGCTCTATCATTTACATTTTGAATACAATAACAACGTGTAACTGACGACTGACTGCTGTACATCTAATTTATACATTGGTTGGCTGAAAGGAAGAAGTAAGAAAACTACTGTAATTCAAATTACCAGAGTATTTATTATATGGTTTGATGGTAATTGTACGATAAATGTAATATGCAATTCTTTGCCGACGCGCATTATAACCGCAAGTTATGAAATTGACAGTTTTCATTGTTGTTATTTTGGCCTTAATTTACAGATCCGGTAATTTTAGTCCAGTAGGTTATTAGGGTTCGCTCGCAGTTATGATATGATATAAATTAACTTGTATCATAGCTATTTTTATTCAAATAAAGATTGCAAATCACTTTTTATTTCACAAATGAGAATTTGGCTTGTAGCCGTAGTCATTTAGCTAAACCGAATTGAATTATGATTCCTGTACGAAGTAGTTTTAAGCACTGATTCTATATAGAAGATCCACGCCATTTCACACAACCTATACCATTCCAATAACAGCAAGAACCCATAAAGAGGCTGTGAAAAAGGAAGGAGCAAACTGAAATCGATGCTGTGGCGACTGTGAGTCTTGTCTTACTATAAACGATCGTTATCGTCCTCCCATTTGGTCTTCGTTCTGACCATATCTCAGAAAAAGATGTAAAAAGCTACTGAGCTGTTTATATCGTTGGATAAAACCTGCCACTCCAGTTAAGTATAACTAGAATAAAAAACAATACAAACCATATACAATTTTTTAAATTGTCTGATCGATCTTATTTTGCTTGGGTACGACATCTGTACTACTTTGTTATAGCAGACCTCGCGTAAAAGTGTAGACATACTATTGAAATTCTATCGTCTCCTTAAGGTTTTCAAACTACAATCGGCGGTGTATCTACATATGCTGAACGTTTTATTATTCAACGTATAGGAGGAACAACCAAACAATACATTTAGAATATTTGATCAGATCATAAATATTTACCAAATATTACAAACTATTGACATCTTATATGATGAACCAAATGGTAATCGCACTCCGTTTTGTAGGGCCAGATTACCATTTTAGTGTCATATTGTCTAACCCACCTGCATTCCACATGAGTTTTTGTCATTATTTTGATGACAACGTCTTTAAACATTGATTTAAACTAGATTCAGCAACTGGGACTTGTGTAAGGCACCACACAGTGAGCGTGGATTGTAAATACAAAATACAAAGCGAGGTGAATCATTTAACACCCAACAGCGCTTGTAGCAATCTGCCTAAGTAGCCTGCCTCCGCCGGGCGACCCGTCCTTCAAAATGGCTTTGGTTTATGGGGTTTATAATTGCATTGTTATTCCATTTTAAATTATTTTTTAAATTATTTAAAAATTATTATCATGGTCGGGTAAAAAAAAACTGTTGTATCTGGTAAAATGGAGTTTTTAATCTTACTTTGACATTTGAAAATCTACTAAAATGTCCAAATTTTAATACAGATTTTTATGAAAGATTAATAATTACATGACATTATCGTACGTCTGTAAACAACTAACTTAATAAAAAAAGTCTAAAAAAATCTTACGTTATTTTATCAACATTCAACGCAATTACGCAAACACTACATTTTATAAATTAAACACTCCAACAATTATATTATTGCCTACATTACTTCAAAATATAAAGATACTAGCTGTTACCCGCGGGCTTCGCCCCGTATAAATTTGTACAAATTTATTAGAGAATTAAAATTTTCATTTACTGAATAATAATTAATAAAAATATGCAATTTGTATTAGTCAGTGTAGGTTTCATTAATTCTTATCCATACTCTTACTTACTATTCATACAGATAAATAGAACTTTAAGTGTTTTGAAAAGTGTTTTCTCTTTATTTACTAAGAACTTCTTCGTAAACAATATTCTTTGTCCTTTCTTCTGGTTGGAGGATGACCAGGCTGTCTGGAGAACTGACTCGCGAGCACGCGACATATAGCTGTCCATGGGAGAAGCAGTCATTCCTTAGATCCACGCCTGCCATCTTTAAACTCTGCCCCTGTGCCTTATTGATGGTCATCGCGTAACACACCTTTACAGGGAACTGCAGTCGCTTGAATTGAAAGGGGTGGTCTGACGGGATCATCGGTATTCGTGGGATGAAAACAGTATTTCCCTGGCCAACGCCTGTGAATATAGTTGCTTCTATCACATGTTTGTGTAAAACATTCACCTGTAGCCTGGTCCCATTGCAAAGTTTAGGTGGATTCAAATTCCGGAGAAGCATAATGGGGGAACCAATCTTTAGAAAAAGAATATGAGGGGGTATCCCTGGTGGATTAAGGGAATGTAGAAATTCCACTGGATAGTGAACAGCATCTTCTGCCTCGACAACTGAGTCCACTGACTCGTATCTTGACATTTCTCCAGGTAGTTGCTCTAACAATGACAGATTTATACCATTTGCAGATTCATTTGTTGGTGTTAGAATTGCTCTCTCCTGTAACCATGCCAGGCTGTGACTCTCTTCATCATTTATACCTGGATATGTCTTACTGATCAGTGATTTTAAATCGTGAACAACAGAACAGAGACTTTGAGGGATACAAAATTTCCCATCACTATCCTCCGACACCTTCCCATCTCCTATCTGTAAGATTAGGGCTGAAAACTCTTTAGGAATGTCCATGCTTTAAAAGTTAGGATGATCAATAGGTTAATTGTGTAACTAGTGCGCGAAGTCAGTGCTAGAAATAAACGGGTGTATATCTTAGAGAGCACAATATCTCTAGCCCTGGTGCAAAGTGGCACTTTGCTGCACACGAGAGAAATGTTTGCGTACGATCCGCAGGCTAGTGTGGGAAGTTTTTCGATTGCAGCAAAGGAACTTTGCACTCGTATAGTACATTATAATTTTTCTAAAGTTACTATAAAGCATATAAACAATTGTCTTTCAAAAACTGTACAACACGTTTTTAGGTTAGGTTTTATCCAAGCATTGAACGAAATTGGAAACACTGCACCAGCTGATCGTAGTCGTAGTATGAGTGTTGCCAACTTATTTTCAAGCATTCAAGGATTGCGTGCCTTATAAAAGCACGCTGATTTGCGTTTGGTTGGAATACTGGAGTGCGGCAAAGAAAAAGAGTGCGGCAAAAGTAAAAAGAGAACGGCAAAATTAAGTAAATGCAGTAATTGCCAAATGTATATACCCTACTATAATCAGTGCAAGGAAGCCCACTTTGTCAGGTGACTGTAGGAAAATACAATTTGTATTCCTTAATTGCGAATGCGCGAAACCACATTGTTATTTTACAATAAAGCTTTTAGCTCAAACTATAGTAATTATCAAGTACAACAAATAACTACGAGCAATATTTGCCAAACAGTTACAACTCCAATCCGTGTTCTAAAAGTCCACAGAGTCCAGGAATGTTCAATATTCACAGTGTCACAACCCTGTAAAGATGGATGTTAGCGCATCCTCTTGTTTGTTTACATTTTTTTAATTGCATTAATTGCTTCAGTTTACCGTAGTAAAACATAACCTCAATTCCATCAAATTGTGTATATATCATATTATCTCAGTTCATTCTATGTACCTTCAGCTTCTTGAAATTTGCAAGTTTAAGTTATGCTATTTTTAATTGATTACCGGTGTTTTGTGTTCAACTTTAAATTGTACATTCGACAAATCACACAAGAGGATACACCTGAACATGTGACACTCACGAAACATGTTGTGAAATCAAACTTAGGGATATTTTGCATTGGAACCAATATTTTATACTAGGCCCTAACATAAATCAATATCTAGGAGTAGGAAAATACTTTTTTGCCAACCAGTTTCCTTAGAGCAAGACTTAAAAAATGTGGTTACTCAAGGGGTTTGAATTAAAAGTTCAATGTAATCTGTTTTCTTTCAAACAGAGGAAATGAAGTTTTTAATTACCTTAAATAAGTTTAGAGAGCGTTGATACCATGACGCTTAAACGTTTCTCGTGTAAAAGAGCTGATTTATTGATACTTTTACGATTTCCTTAAATAATCACTCAAGATATTTAGTGGGGTGTTTATAAATGATTCATCAGGTTTTAATACTTTTTGTTGTCCTTAATACTGAACGAATACTGATGGAAACTACATCACTAGAAGGAAAATTTCATGAATACTTCTTTGATACCATTTCAAGTGCTCGATGTTCCGTCCATTAGCTATGGAATAAAATACTAACAATATTTTTAATTGATTAATACACCGGCTTGCATCGGGAGGCTGATTGAATCTGAACGGCAAAGCTATGCGTACACGTAGCTCGGTAGCTCTCTAAGTTTTTGAGGCATTGTCGGTAGCTTCATAGAAATAAACCGCTCACCGAAGGTCAGGAGATCAAGAATGCCGTTTAGGAAGGAACATCTGCAAATTCGTGTGAGGTAGCATATCTCTTGTATAAAGCTATCAAGGGTCTGAACTTTTTAGAAAACCATAAGCACACCTATCAATCGTATAGGTACTTTACTGAAAGATCTTGGAGGAAATGATAAGAAACTTCCCCGAAAAAAATATTAGCTTTTGGATAAACCCTCTCAAAATGGCCGGAACCTAAATTAAAGGGCTGTATGATTACATTTAAAATATTGAAGATACATCAGCTGTTAGATTATTGTTTTTGTTTTAGTTAGTGTGTTTACTTTTCCTTGAGTTAACCTTTTAATTCTACAATAGATTTCTATATTGCATCAATAGTGACAGTACATTTTTGTGATAATAAGGGATAGTGTTCAAAGCTTTGAATTATGTTTCAACTGTATACTTATTAGTTTAGTGTTAAATATTCTTTTTTTAACATAGCAATTGATGTTGCAGACATACAGTTTGACACAAGAACCATAGAGTTTGGGCGGAGCCTTCTGTGTTCCAACATAGAACAACTCATCTGTAGAGCACCTACTTGACTTTGTGAGATGGACATCGATAAAATTAATTTAAACATCATGAACAAGCGCTTCGTCAACCAGCAGTTTGCATTGGACAAGGCGGTAATCACCATATCTTCTCTGCGTTCTCTTCCAGTTGCTCGGCTGTACGGGCGGAACACAACTTGCCTATAATAGGAATTTTGAATACGATTTAAAGAAACCCAAGAAAATGGTGAAAATGGGTATTGAACAGATTATTATAAAAATTGAAAACATGATCTGTATTCAAATGTTAAAATCATTAACGTGAGATAAAAAGTATGTGAGATATATGACATTGAAACCTGATAAATTATTTACAAACACCCTGTATAATGTTCGGAGGCTTCTGTTATGTCAGTGGCTTACAAGAGATTGTCACATAATTGCATTCCTTCGCGAGTTGTGTCACCTTCTTGTTCAACCACACTGACGGGGATTGTCAAATTTCACTTTGATCATTAGTAAAATGTTAATTGGTTGTCGACAAAAACTATTTTTTCCAATAGTGGAAAAACTCTAAAATATTTTAGGCCTATCATTTACTACTGTGAGTAAGATCCACCAGGACAATTATTGTACAATATCGTGAACCCAAGAATATGTATGGATTATCTTCAATAATTTCCATGCACCGTTCAGCTATTTTTAAATAATTGTTTTCCTACATTCACCCGACAAAGTGGCCTTCTTTGCACAGATTATAGTACAGAAAGCTGCAAATGCTGCATTTACTTTGCCACCAACTTTTTACTTTGCCGCACACTAGTATTCCAACCAAACAACACAAAACAGCGTGATTTTATAATGAACGTAATCCGTGTACGCTTGGAAATAGGTTGGCAACACTTAAAGATACTACGACTACACCAGCTAACAGTGCGTTAAGTGGGGTGTTCTAATCAGCTGGTAGGGCGTTTTCCATGTTTGGATTTAACCTAACCTAAAGTGTTTGAAAGACTAATTATTTTTACAAATACGAGTGCAAATTACTTCACCTACTAGTTATACGGTTAACTATTCCACAGCGTATGGATATGGATATTGAGCTTATTATATTAACTCAGCTATGAAATGTTAAGTTAAATAAGCTCAATATCTCCATTACCTTCCCTGTAAATATTAAATTCCCATTGTTATGGAGAATAAAACTCCTAGTTTCCTTATTTATAAACATATTTTAATTTGGAAAATTCATTTATTCCATGTTATAGGGTTATTAACATTTAGCTATAAATACACTTTATTACCTTCCTTGTAGCAGCAAACCTAAGTTCTCTTTAAACTAATGTCATTTAAATAGGTGAAATATATGACATTTAAGAAGATATTTTAGTAAAAATCCAATCAAGCAAATGGAAATTCGCTTAGTGTGCAGGTTTGTTGCGGCGGGGAGATTTGGATATGATGCATAAGGTTTTAAAGAGTTGCAAGTTTGTCCTACAGTTAGTTCTGTTTGACAAACCGCACTGCACCGAGTACGGGGTAAATGAAACATTTACCCTCACAGTAGTTACTGCAGCCCCTTGATGCTCGTAATGTAGTTCAACCAGGTGTAAAATGTGCAGACGTATTTCTGCGTTCATTACTCAAGGAAAGTAAAACATCGGTGTCAGTTGTAAGAAACTTTACCAGATATTCAACTATTACTATTCAATATGTGGAAATGGTGACCATACGAAGGTAGAAGTATTTTAAGCCGAGTATGAATGGATATAAATGTAGGATGAGTGGCGTGATCTTGTAGTCTTGTAACTAAGGCATGTTCCTTAGACACAACTGTTAATTAATAGCCCATACAGCCAATGGTAACTAAGGAACCTACAGATTATAGTGGAATCCGAACCATATTTTTGCCTAGTAATATACGAATTGGTCTAATTATCAGGACAGCACTGCGATTAGTCGAAGTACTCATGAGTGCGGACGTTTAATCCATAGCAGGGAGTATCGCATCCACACATCATGCCTAAAATATCCACAATTCGTCCAAGTAGGCCTAGTTGAATTACAGGACGACACCTAGGTCCCAGTCAATTGGATTATAGAAAGCTCTCGCCCTTTTAACAATGAAAATGTACATTAATCGTTTTGGGTTATTAACATGAATAAAACAAACATAACAATGAAACGATAAATACCATGGAAGGTCCTCGTAGCGCCCGGAAATCTAGTTGTATTTAAATATACCGTAGTTTAAATTAAGTAAATCTTTCCAATGATTAAAAAAATACCCATGCATTTTACCTGAGATAGGGTATAGGATAAATATTATCTGGTTATCCTAATGAAGGCTAAAATAGAATATTTATAACAATTACAGTGTTGCATAGACAACTTTTGTTTCTGTAAAAGCTTCGTTTGTTGTTAGCTTGGCAATTAGAGTAGGCTAGACCTAATTGAAAATTCTAACCTGAATTCTGCATTGAATCATCAGACCAAAACTGCATGTCGTAACAGGAAAATCATCGTAAACAATAGCACTTGACACTAACAATTTAAGCAAATGTCCACTAAACACACTCACAAACACTATACGATATATATTACAAACACTGACTAAATTACGATATAAAATACGAACACTACGCGTAGCAACAAGAAAATACAGCGCACCATTTTAGTACCTACACGAACAAAACAACAATGAACCAATAAGAAACTGTCACATCATACGAGTAGAGGACTAGATGATCAGCTGATCAGCTGTCAAGCGGAACGGTTTTTGGTT